ATAAAATGGTCCCTTTATATGGGGTTGGGTTTTCACAATTTCCAATATTTATTAGAAGGCCAAAATGAATAGAGGCCCAATCTTTTTTCCCTTCCATTGCCCAACAAGCTTCAATTCCACAGTTAACCTCTCTTTACATCACTATTCATTCATGATTCCATTTGTACTCATGTTACTTTAGCAATATACATATTTTTTTTTTTGGGATTGCGATATGGACTAATTTACACATAGATTAAGAAATGTTTTTTGTATTGTTAGAAATATGCCCTTCAATATGAGATTAGAAAATACACAAGAAAATGTTTTGTAGCTTGGTTCAAAATTGACAAAGATTGGGATGTGAGCTATATGAAAATTGACACTGCATCTGACCACTTAACTTTACTAAGGTGACCCTCAATGTATTTGATGCATATATTTGGTGCAAAAAACACAATATATGATTTCATTTTTAATTTTTTTTTTGGGTAATGCCAAGGTCAGGCAAAAAAAAAGAAACAGAAATACAAAGCAAAGTTCAAGGAGTATAAAAGATGAATGGCAACAACATATTTTTTTCCTTCTTAAAGGAGTGTTTGGTAGGTGGGAAAAAAATTTCCCAGAAAAGTCACCCTGACAATATGATTATCCCATGTTTGGTAGAAAGAAGTCAAAAATTTATCCTGAGAAAATTACATTCCCAGAATTTTTGTTTACACATACTTTTTCCATTTCAGAATATCATTGATAAGGTGGTATTTTACAAATCCGACGCTATGGGAAAATAGACACAAAATTCTCAGCCAAAAATACTCATGTTTGAATATCCAAAACATGTTCAACTCTTGAGGCTGAGCTTTGGGGTTGTCTGTCAAGGTTGCAGTTCACTTGGAGCTTGAATATTAAGAACCTTGTCCTATTGTGTGATTCCACAAAAGCATGCTCGTGTGCCAATGCACTCATTGAGTATGTTGACCGCTTGCATCTAGTAAGAAGCATTTGGGGTCTCTTGAGGAACCAATGGCGGGTCCGTATTGTGCATGTTCCTCAAGATGCAAATGAGTGTGCTGATATAATGGCTAAGATAGGGTTCAATCTCCGTAACCAAAAGATGGAAGTCTTCATAGTCCCTCCTTCTGAAGTTGCATCTTTGCTTGAATATGAGTTCTCTAGATTAGAGAATTTGCAGGTTGTTACTAGCTTGCATAGGCATGTTGTTTTATTCTTGTAGCTTCCTTTGTTTTTGTTCTGGGCTTGAAGCCCTCCTCTTATACCAAAAAATAAAATAAAATACCCTTAGCCCTAGCTTGAAACAAAATCAATTTTCTCTTAAACTTGTGTGCCTTTGAATCAAAATCAATGACCCAGATATGAACATTTCTGTAACAAAAGTTGAAAATCAGTTTCTTCTGAAACTTGAGTTGGTTGAATGTTAAACCCAGAAGGAGAAAATTTGTTAAAGGAGTTATTTTTTTAAGCCTAAATATCAGATTTTGTTTGTGGTGAATGTTAAAAGGGTAATTTTGTAAAATTACCCCACATTTCCAGTAATATTTGATAATTAACCAAATATAGCATCAATAAATTTGAGTCAATATTTCTGGTTATATTTTGATATACCTAACAATTTTTTTGTCTCATTCCCAGAAAACTCAATTTCTCACCATATTCTCAATAATCGTAATTCCCAGTTAAAAAAAAAAAAGTTTTTCTCATATCAAACATCTCCTAAGTTTTTATAGAATATTTGAAAACACACCCCACCCACCCCCCCCAAAAAAAACCCAATAATAATAATAATAATAAATAAATAAAAACTTCAAGTACCTTTTTGATAAGTTTAGTAACATATTTATAACCTTTAATTTATCTTTCAAACAATCTCTTTTTTTCAGTGAAATAACTACAATAAATCTGACTATTTGATTGAAAAATATGAATAGAAAAAATAATAAATATACAAAAAAAAAAAATGAACGCGAATTTTAATTATTTTGTTATTTATTTATTTTTATCTAGTGTCATAACATTTTTTTTTTTGGGCTGAGATACACATAAAATTAAAAAATCCAACGCATGATAAACAAAGTTATCAGAACTGTAAAATTATCCCAAAGTTTATTTACGAAAATTGTATCAGTACCTGTAATTGATCACTCAATAGCTTTCGTGCTTCCATCTGCATTTGTAGGGTTACCTTAAACTGAAGAGCACGGCTTATATACATTTAACAAGAATAATAGAAAAAATATATATACTTAAAAAACTAAATTGAAAAAAAAAAAATGGTTAAGAGGTGTTGAAGGAATTTTTTACTCAACTTGTTTTCGATTTGAGACAAATTGAATACTGTTAGTTTTAAATGAATCAATGTTTAAATAAAAAGATCAATAATTTCTAAAATCAAATATTTAAATTTGCTGTTGAAGACTATAATGAATTTTTAAGTATATGTGGGTATTAAATAAATAAAAATATTGATGAACTTGTGTTATCGTGTAGAGAGGCCAAGTTCATATTTTTATGAGGTATGTTTTTTTATGTTACATGAGATAATATATATTTTTTACTTATACATCAAAAATTGTGCCAATATTTATTTATTTATTTTTAAAGTGAGTTGCACATATATTATATCTATGGTATAAGATAACAAGTCTCTTACAAAATAAGACTTGCATTCCCTATTTTTATTTGTTTGTGGAAGATAAACTTTGAAGATGGACCCTAACTGAATATGATTTTAGCCATTAAGCCTAAGGTTGATCCTATGTTGGGCTTAACCGAAACGAATAGGTCCATTTTTATGAACGACCTGGACCCTCATTTATTTTTTCTTTTTTGTACAATTTTTATGCCCATTAATATGAGAATTAAATGATAGATTAGATTAGATATATGTGGGGTATTCTTTTATTCAACTTAATTGTTTTTGGAGATATATACGTTGCTTTTCAATATCCATTTGGGTAAAGTAAAAACTAAAGGTTTATTTTCAAGAGAACTTTTTCAAACATGGAACTTTTAACTTCGGTTCAAACATTCACTTTTAAGCACAGCCACTAACACTTACGGGCTACTCAACTTAATAGTTGATATATAACCTTGTTTTGCTAGATTTTCAAAAGTACAAAATAGATTATGAGAAGTTAGAAACCTGCAAATGGCTTTTGACTTATAAATAGTTTTTTTTTCAAAGCTTTTTTTTTAAAAAAAATTCTTCTTACTATAAATTACTGTTTAGACGTCTGCTTTAAAATAAGAAGTCACAAAAAAGTCAAAAACTTGCTTTTTGTAAAAGCTACAAATTTTAACTTCCAAAAAAACAAAAGTCAAAGCTAACTATTTTTTTTCAAAAGATATATATTTTTTCAAAATTTAAACAAATTTAAATTTTATAAAAGAAATTCTAAAATAAACAAGTCATAAAAAATTATTTTTCAAAAAACTCGTCCAAACAAGTCTTTTGACTTGATAAATAGTTAATCCAGAGACACCCATAGCCATCATTTCTTTCAATAATACCTTTTGGCGTTTCACCTGACAAGCTAAGCAAAAGCATGATGATTCCAATAACTCTTACAACTTGTATGACAAGTTATTTTAACTTTACTCCCCAAGACTTCATTTCAAGAATGAACCAAGGTCGGAAAAAAAAAAAAAACTCTAAGCGGTGGCATAACTGGTAACGGTAAGTGAGCTATGCCTAAGAAACAGATTGTTGGGGCTTAAAGTCTTTTGCCCCCGGGCATAAGCGTAGTGGAAAGGGTCGAAGCCTAGGGTCTTGTGGCAGAAATGCACTAAAGCACCGGGTTCAATTCCTGCCTCGACGTGCACATCCCGTGATTTACATCTTCCCAAGGTTCCCAAGAGCGTGGGCTTGAGTGGCGGCGGTGATGGGCCGTAATCCAAAAAGAAGAAGAAGAATGAACCAAGGTCGCCCCCGGGGCATAAGCGTAGTGGAAAGGGTCGAAGCCTAGGGTCTTGTGGCAGAAATGCACCAACGCACCGGGTTCGATTCCTGCCTCGACGTGCACATCCCGCGATTTACATCCCGCGATTTACATCTTCCCAAGGTTCCCTGCTTGAGGGGCAGCAGTGATGGGCCGTAATCCAAAAAAAATAAAAATGAACCAAGGTCGCCCCCGGGGCATAAACGTAGTGGAAAGGGTCGAAGCTTAGGGTCTTGTGGCAGAAATGCACCAAAGCACTGGGTTCGATTCCTGACTCGACGTGTACATCCCGCGATTTACATCCTCTCAAGGTTCCCAAGGGCGTGAGCTTGAAGGGCGGCAGTGATGGGCCGTAATCCAAAAAAAAAGAAAAAAAAGAGAATGAACCAAGGTGGGGATGATCACTAAGGTACATGGACATGACTGGGTGAGATTCTGCTGAGTATATGTATATATTCAAAATAAACCAAGAATATGCCTATTTTTGAAAATACGTTGTTTTGTTTTCAGCTCTTTCTTTTGTATTCGTCTATCTTTTTTAAGGTACAGATTCATTTGGCGAAGATGCATAGGAAATAGGATTAGTCAACGCCACGAGATTAAAAAACAGTGTTATGGTCATTTTATATCATTATTTGCTACACAATATAGGGTTTAGATCCCTATGAAGTTTTAGGGTGGTAGATAATTGAAATGATGTGTTACCTTCAAGTTTCGGAGTGTTACGAAATTGATAATTAAGATCCACTTTGACTAATCTCTAAAACCTGTCATTTACATGTCATTTACATATTAAATTAAGCCTTATTCTAGAAACAGCAAAACAAGAAGTAGCCATGATCTATATGATGGATAGTCATGGACACATGATGCAACACAAGAAGATATATATAAAGCACGTTAAAAAAAAAAAAATCAAAGTTTCACGTCATGCGTGACATGATCATTGAAGAAAACCATACCATACAGAAAAACACTCTCATTGATAACTACATTTCATGTCAGAATTCAGATACAGGGTAAAATAACCATATACCACGCATGTTCAAGCAAAATATGGACTAATTGACAAATTAGAATGTATGGTATTCTATTCTATAAATTATATAACATACATTTAGGATTCATCTTGGTAGAAGAAATTAACTTAATCTCTGAAAGATAACCCACTAGACATAGATACTATACCCATTACAAGATCTTCTAAAAGAGATGTAACAATATTAAGGTATCTTGTCAGCCACGACACAGTATTATTATTCAGTGACATATTGCCTTTGGCTTTAGGGCCTGGCACGCTTCATGCTGCATGATGGGCACTTGTATTGCTTTATGCTCTCAGCCTTTGCAGGAGTAATCTTCACGCATTTCCCATGGAACCACCTCTCACATATGTCACAGCCAATCCAAAACTCATCTGCATTGTAATTTCCCCCACAGCTCCCACAAAGGGTTTCACTATGCTCATCCTCCTCCTCCTCGAAACCTTCTTCTACGAACTTTGGATTGCTTTTAACTTGCCCATCACTTGATCTCTGCAGATAAATGAACGACCATGCATCATATAGCAGTATGGCAAGGTTTAGCAAACACTATGAAACCTATAATTCATATAGTATTTGTAGTGCAATCACATCACATGAAACAAACATCATAATCAGAGTTTCTAACATGCAGTCCAGTTATACCCCCCTCTGATTGCAATTTTCATGATCATATACATAAGCAAAGAGAAAAGTAGAAGAGTAAGTATAACAGTGTGATAGATTATGTAGCTCAATAACCACATCAAGATTAAGATCCACAAAGTCTAAGGCCTAGTGTGGTTTTTGCCTGTACTCAGCTGCTTCTGCAAGTTAACCGTGAAAACTACAACAAACAAACAAGTGAATGGCATTTTATTGTAGTTCTATGATAATGGTTAAATTTTTTCTGTGTTTGGTTTAGGAGATAAACACCGAAAAAAGACAGAATAGTATAATAACTTCAAAAGATATAATGATATTGATATCTCTACTCTCATTACAGACTTTCGGAAAGCACAAGCATTACCTAATCGAGTCCTTGAGTACGAATCAACGAATTTCTGATGATCCAGCAAAAAGAGACAAGTACCACACAGATACAAAAGGGCCGACCCAGTTCAAATACTCACTTCATGAGTGTCTGGGGAAGAAGTACCACACAGATACACACACACACACAAAAAAAAACAATGCACACAAAAAAAAAAAAAACACTAACCTTGGTGCTGCCCCGAGATTTGCTTCCACTATCTGCAGTGGGCTTATCCTTTATTGGCTTCCTCTCAGTCACAACTTCAAAAACGGTAGGAAGATCATTGATCAAGCTAAATAAACGTTTCCTGCCATAAAGAATCAGTTGAACCATCAATAGAAAGAGTCATATGCCCATTTCAGAGCAAATGTTGAGGAAAAATGATACAACAAAGAAACCCATGAGAATGGGAAAGCTATAAGGGTGCGTATGGTTTACGGATTCTTGGAGAAAGATGGGAAAATGAAAGCAAGGCATCTAACTTGCTCACGTTTGGTTGGACTATTTTTCTTACTATGCCAGCTAAATCAGTTGTGTAGATAACCAAAAAGCATAGACTTCCAACACCATTTAGCCAGCGAAAGTTGCCCCATGGCCGAGTGGTATTCTGGAAAAGCAGCCTTATTTGGTCACTGTTCAGACTAACAAAAGACCAGCCCACCCTCATTGTTTACAAAAGGGTACGATGCCCACATTGTTTAATTCAATAAAAGAAGGTTATTTTCGTAACTGTGCACTGAGTTCCCCATCTATATTTTATCATCAGCCAAATGTAGACTTTACAAAAGTTACCTAATTTTCTTACTAAAATATTTTTCAACCAAACAACTATTTTTACATTTTCCCACCAAACTCACTTTCCACCCATTTCCCCACTAATCACATTTGCCTATGATTCATAAAAATTTCTCCCAAACCAAACGCCCCCTAAAGGAAAAACTACTTATTCAACAATCCAAATGATAAATTGAACTCAATAGTAAAATATGTTACACTCAAGTATCTTTGGGGCCTAAAATCCCCTTTGCTCACATAATAGTAAGGAGGGGAAAAAGTAAGAATGGGAATAGAGCACTTAAGAATTGATTCGACATAATGCTCGGTAAAAAATTAAAGCTAAGATTACAGAGTCAGCTTCCACACAAGCTATTGGGCAATGGGCATGGACCAGTCACCATGGCACCACAGCACCATGGCTACCCTTGTCATAAATAAACCTCAAGTTTATGATTTAGTTTTTTTCAATTGTTAATTTTTTTGATGAGAAGGGAACCTCTGCTGATGTTGCTGGGAAGATAAAATTTCCTTAAGACACCTTTTACTGCCCATCAAATGAATGCATGAATAAACTTATCCAGAATCACAACAGACCACAGAAATTACAGTCATTGCCAATTAGAAAAAGCCATTATCCCTTTAACAAGTACAATTACAAGGCCCAGTTTTCAACATTTCACATGGTGCTTAAGCATTAAAGATAGAGAGCCACAACTAACTAAAATTATCACCACATGCTTACATCCCAACCAAAGCTAGATAGTACCTTTCATTGCGGTTAAGACGAGCTCCAAGATAAAAGGCCACAGAAAGCAACCACGAATCACTATGCACAGCAACCAGAGAAAGCCAGTCCCTGCGGTTCATGCCATCCCTTGCAAAATTGATTCCAAGAGCCGGCTCTGGAAGCTCCGGGGGAACTTCTTCTGCTGGCAGAGTCACTTCCCATGTTTCATTTGGATGTCCATAGAGGCACAAGTTCTCCTTATCTTAAAACATACACACGAGATAAACTTAGAACTCAATGCAACAATTCAGAGATTAATAATTATTATTATAAAAATCATAAAAACTAGGATATCATTTCCAGCATGAATCTAATTCAACCAGTTACATGTCTGTCAAATATCATGTTCAAATCAAAATACAGAAACTGGATGTATCTCAGAAGAACAAACCCAATCCTAGTCAAGTTTAACGTTTTTTTCTTGACCTATACACAAAAAACAGCTATGTTATTTGCACAATAAATCACACTACTTTCACACGGGTAGCAATGACTCAATTATTGGTTAGAGTATGTAGATCAATTAATGAGAGCCATTTTTTTGTATGTAGATTGATTAACAAACTAAAAAACCATTACCAGCTTGTTAAATAACAGATCATTAGTTTGTTAATCAATTCATACATTTTGACAACTAATAACTGAGTTATAGCTTAAAAGGAGTGTGTATCTAATATTAATAAATAAATAGATAAATAAATAAATATATTATTTAGTGTGTGAAAATCATTTTTTTTTTTAAAAAAACACATGGGACAAGCTGAACTTTGACTTTTTTCTCCATTATTTACCTCAAATTCTCCGAAAAAAAGAAAGTCAACTTGCACAACTCTCACAAACATACACAAATCACACAGAAACAACAAAACATAATTGGGAAATAAAAAAAAGAAAAAAAGAAATATTTTTTTTTACGTAAAGTAAAAAATAATAAAAATTCAGATCCGCGATTACCCATTACCTGGATCACAGAGTCCATAGAATTCATCAACATCTGAGAGAAGAAAAGCGAGTAAAATTAGAAAATTTTCCAAATGGGTCTGTGAAATCCGAAAAGAGAGAGTGGAAATAATAACAATACCTTGAGATAAAGCACGAACGATAGCAACTCTTCGAGCACTGTAATCTTTGAAGATCTCTTCAACGGTGCGGGGGCTGGAAGCCATTTCCATGAAACCCAATTGAGATCTAAGCGATTGGGTTGGTTGGGTTCGAGAAGGTTCTAGAAAGCGCGGTGAGGGTGCACGGAGGAGACCATGGGAAGGGATCGTAGAGATAGCAGATGCATGTGAAGGAAAAAGGAAAAGGAACAAATGAGAGAGAAAAAAATACAAAATGATAGAAATGGAAAATAAATACAAGTGAAGGAGTAAGTGAGTCTGTGTTTGTGTATGTGTGTGTGTGTAAATAAGGCTAGTATTTTTTATTTTTTAAAATAATAATAAATTCGTTGCTTGCTCAATATTTGTTTTTTGGCACCATGTTACATGTTGTTGCTTTTGATGCTTTCAAAGCCTTTTAATTGTATTTGAAAAAAATATTTTGTAAGGGTTGAATAAGCCAACGCTTTGTTAGTCACTTTTCTCTTTTTCTACTTTTTAAAATAAAATAAAATTGAAGAGGATAAACAAAGAAGTTGTTCCTCTCCGAGTTGGTGGACAACTCAAAAAGGTTACGAAGAAGATGACTATTAATGTATTCGGATTTATATAAATTTTAGGGAAATTTTTTTAAAAGTATTACTAATAAATTTTATATTTATATTTATTTATTTATTTAAATATTAAAAATAGAATATATATATATATATATATATATATATATATATATAAATATGGAGAAGGATCCGTTTACAATTTTTTTTTTACAAACTTACAAATTACATTATGTTTGAACGGTAATGGCAAAAAAATTAAAATAATGTATTTAAATTAAATAATTACGCATTTAATGCTGTTTTGTAAAAAATTACACATCTACTGCACAATGTGACGCCAGTTTTGGGCGTCTCTCCCATGGATAAGACGCCCCAATGGGGCGTCACATGTGACGCCCAAAACTGGCGTCACATGTGTGCTCTATATATTTCCTTACCCCCTCCATTCAATTCACACATCTTCTCTCACTCTTCATATCTCTCTTCTCCACCAACATTCCTTTATCTTTAATTTAGTATTTGAATTTTAGTTGTAATTCTATTTAAAAATGAGCTCAAATCCTGATTCTGTTCGTGTTGTGTTATATTACAATGGTAGGAAGGTAGAAGGTCGACGAGGTGTCATATTCGAAGGTGAAAAAAGGCCGACACGTATCCAACGCAACACAACCATTGGCGAACTGCATCAGAGAATTCGGCAGAAGTTAAGTCTTCAAGACAACCAATGTATCACTGAGATCACGACAAGGGTGTGGCAAAGTGATAAATACATTAGTTTGAAAGTGCTTGACGATGAAGACTTGGAGATGACAATGGAAGAATTTTGCAACCAGTCAAGGACAGATTTTCTAGAGTTGTATGTCGACATCGTCGCAACGGAGAATGCTCCCATACCGGTGAGGTCAGTTTATTTAAATTATCCCCGTCTTCCAGCTTCTCCTGCCGCTCATGCGTCTCTAGTTGGTAACTTTTCTGAGGGAGATGAAAATGATCCGACTTGGGAAATGCACGACGAAGATGACGATGAAAATATGGCAATGGAAGAACATCTTCTGGCGGAGGATGCTAGTGCTTCAGAAGGAGATGAATCTCGTGAGATGGGTGCGTCTAAAATCCCAATATTCCATCAACCAGTCGTTGCGCAAATGCCGCAGTTGAATGACGTTGCGTCTGCTCCGTTTGGTATTCCACAAGAAGGTAATTGTTCCCATTTGTATACTGCGTGAATAAATAACTGATTTAATACCTGAATTAGTATGATCATGTATTCCTCTCAATTTTCTAAATTTTTTCGGGATGGGTTGATTAAGACCGAACTGTCGCATGCACCTATCCGGTTGACATGCCTCCACTGTGTGGAAGTAGATAATAGGTGTGGGAGCAAGCCACAGATACTGCTGCTCTGGAGTCACGTCAAGCCACTCATATTCTATATATGGCTGCCACACCACCTACAAACAAAATGTGAAACAATATATAGAGTTACAAAAAAAAATTAAACCCATAGAAAAATAACAACACCGTAAGTATCTAACACCAAACCTCATCTCTACAGAGTGTGTCCAATGTTGCCCGATAATGGGTGACCTCATGAGGTTTAAACTTTTGTACAGCATTAAACCTGTCAATCAGAAACATTATCAACCATACATAATCGTCCAAAGTCAAGAAGTATACAGTTAGTATATACATTATCGAAATCAAATGAAGTAAATAAATCATATCGGCATCCATAATGTGTGCCCGGCTCTGGATGAGGAGGAAGGGGTGGAGCAATGGGTGGGAATCGTATCCATGCCCAAATTTGAAGGAGAATATGGCAACCACCCATGTCGCTTCGACGGGCATCTGTCACTTCACACAAATTCCTGAACAAGTGTGTCAAAACTGCAGATCCCCAGCTGAATCGGCCAATGTCCTCATATCCTCCACCTAGCAACGGGACAAGCCGGCAACCAAAATTGCTACCTCCAGACTTGTCCGCCAGCAACCAAGTCCCCAACATCCGGGCAATGTGGGCTTTTGTGAAGTAGATCTCGGCAACATGATTCCCCTCATGATCAGTCCACCGGGTATAATGTCGATCCAAGAATGAGATGCGGAGGTCGCCGGAATGATGGAACTCACCGGCCTCTGGAACATGTCCAAAAACAGCAGCACAAGCAGCTTGCCAATCCTCAGAGGTCGATCCGATGACGACAGTACCGTCAGTCGGCAAGTCCAAGATGCCTGCCACATCTTGTAAGGTGATCGTCATCTCACCTTGGGTCATATGAAAGGTATGTGTCTCTGGTCTCCACCTCTTGACCAGAGCACTAATTAAAAATGTATCTATGTGTGATAAATTACGCAGTTATCACGTGTTAACAAATTTTATTAAATAATTACAAAATACAAAACGACATAAATAACATACCTGGATATGTTGCATCCTGGCAACATGTATGAAACCCGCCTGTCTGAGGTACTCTTCCACAACCTGTGGAATAGCACCGGTAGGTGGGGCCCCCTTGTGGCTTCCCACGCCTAGTCTTAATCTTTCTTACATGCTCAGTATTCCACACTCGCTGTGAAATATGACCTTTCTGCGTCCTCTGACGAAGGACCTCCCACCTGTAGGGCCCAGGTATGATCCACATGCTGGGATCGGTGGGCTCTACATCCGAATCAGATCCCGAAGAAGATGATGACTCAGCCATTATCCTCAACTAACTACAAAGTTATGCACTCCCGCATTAATAACATCATACATACGAAATTTACAAAGTCTCTAACACTATTTATAAATCACTAATTAATATGCTAAACCCGAATACATAATTAAAAATCGGTAATAATAATTACTACGTAATAATAATATTACTATATCATTACAACATTCATAGCATGACACTAAATTTCTAAGTGACTATCCTAATGTTCCAAGTCTCTAATATACAATCAATCCTAACATGTATTACTAACTAGCACTGTAATTTAAATGTATACATATGAGGTATTATGACCTTACCTACGTTGGCAGAGCTTCGCTACGAACCGCGGTTAGAGAGAGGTTGGAGAGAGGTTAGAGAGGTAAATGAGTAAGGAGTGAAAAAAGGAAAGTGGGGTATATATAGGTTGCACATGAGACGCCCCAGCGGGGCGTCTTCTCTAGGAGAGAGACGCCCCGCTGGGGCGTCACATGTGACGCCCAAAGAGGGCGTCTCATTGTGCAACAAATGTGTAATTTTTAACAAAACAGCATTAAATGCGTAATTATTTTAATTAATTACATTATTTTAATTTTTTTTCCGAACGGTAATACTCTACTTAAGAGTGTATTACCGGTCAGAGATAGTGTAGTTTGTAAATAAAAAATTTGTGAATATAATATTCTCATATATATATGGGTCAGGATCTTTTGACACCAGTGTCAAATTTTGAAATTTGACACCAAATCCTAACTGTTGATTATCATTTATTGGAATTAGGGTTAGGATTGGCAGAAATCAACGGTTAGGATTTGGTGTCAAATTTCAAAATTTGACATCGGTGTCAAAGAATCATATCCCTATATCCCTATATATATATATATATATATATATATATATATATATATATAAGATTTATATTTCATTTATATTTCTGCAGCTGCTGTACAGCAATCAAATACTTACCGTATATATACTTGAAAACATTAAATGCGAGGAATCATAACCATACAAAGGATGAAAGCAGTAAATGTGGGGAATCATAACCATACACTTGTCGTTGTTGTACGTAAAGCGGCTGCAGAAATAATTTTACCTATATATATATATGTATATGTGTATAGAATATATAGGCTTACAATAAACAAGAAGCAATAAGCTAATGGAAGTGTGTATGTGCACAATGATTCTTGAAATGTAAATGAAAGCTCATTGTATTTGTTAGAAGTAAACACGAATGTCTAGCGTAAAGGCTAGTGATTGTATCTACAGAGCAAGTGGAAGAAATAACTGATAATGATGGTCCGACACCACTAACCAAAGTCCCATGGGTACACAACAAAGAGGGGTGTGTGTGTGTGTGTAGGGGATGGTGATAGCTCTATAGCACAAGATTGCAACGGTGAGCAATGTGGACTGTTCTGACTCTCCAGGAGTACTATAGCAGTATATATACAGCCTCTATGAGCAGTTATGGTGGTGTGGAGTAGTCTTAGAGTAGATACCAAGAGTGTGATCGTGTTGTTCTGGAGGGCTGGGTTATGGGTACAGTTCTGTGTCCCGGGCTGCCGAGTTTAACCCCTGGCCATCGCGGTCCGATTAAGTGGGAAGATCAAAGTCGTTCCTCTGGTCGAAGTAGGATCTAAGGTAATCCCGGAACAATATTGAATGAATGTGAAAGTTACATCAAATATTGATATATGTATCAGTTTACAGAAATGGGAAATAACAAAGTTAAGATAACAAACTTGCTAACTAACTATCTGAAGAGACTATGTGTACATTCTCATAACTGCATCAGGTATCTTAAAATAAACATGTGATATTATATTTGTAATAGCCCCTCAAGTTGGAGGTGAATATCTTTTCACCCCAACTTGGACAACAAGGAAGCAAAGGGAGTGAAAGTTTTTGTAAGTAGGTCAACAAGTTGTGAAGCACACCTGATTGGAAACATATGAATAAGTCTAGAATTAACCCTTTTCCCTTAATACATGACAATCAATTTCAATGTGTTTGTTGCATTCATGAAAGGCTGGGTTGTGAGCCAAATAAATGGTTGATCAGTTATCGCAAAAAAATGAAATAGGTTGCAAGATGGGATATGTAAAAAGATATGATATCCATTATAACTCACAAGAAATTGCAACTAATGCACAATATTCAGACTCGGAAAAGGATCATGATACAATGTGCTGTTTCTTGGATTTCCAGAAACTAAAGCATCATCGAAAAAGATACCAAAATCGGTGATTGGTCGTTTAAAATTTGGGCAGCTAGCCCAGTTTACATTTGCAAATCCTGATGGAGTAAGCGTGTTGTTGTTGGAAAAAAAGCCTTTTGAAGGAGATCCTTTTATGTACTTTAAAACCCTTGTTGTAGCTTTATAATGAGTATCCATTGGTTAAGCCATGAATTGGCTAAGTTGTTGTACGGAAAGGAAAGATCAAGTCACATAGTTGTGAGATACAACAAACAACCAACTAAGTGTTTGTACTCTGCAAAGTCTAAATATGGAGCTCTTTCTTGTTTTTATAACCTAGTGGAAGAATCCATAGAAGCCGTATGTAAGGACCCGCACCGTTAATTAAGGAAGTTAATTAATTAATTATGAGAAATTAGAAAATAATTCCATAATTGACCCTAATAATTATTATGAGGCTTAAATAAATATAAAAAGTGATTGAGAATGCTGAAAGTCGCTTTTCGGACAAAAAGTACGGATACCGGTTCTGCTACTCGGTGTAATTGTGTACCGATGAAGTATCCCGAAAAATTATAAAAAGCTTGTATATGTCACTAGAATAATATATAGGACTTGTAAAACAAGTTTCAAGTTAAAATAATGAGAACTGGTGCCAGAACTGATACTGGCTATGGAAGAGCGCGTACCAGAAGGGTGCTGCGAAAAAAAAATGATAAATCTTAAAAAAATGAGTAGGTTCAGAATTCTAAGTTTGAGATTAAAATACTAAGCGTAGAAATTAATGATAATACTGTGTGTTTAATTCTTAAGTGGCTATATATATGACTTTTGGGCCCAAAACCCTAGGCACCTTGTTATTTCCTATGTGAATGGAGGCTGACCAGTTGCTCTAAACACTGTTCCATTGCCTACTTGCTTCATTTTGTGAGCTTTGAAGCCATTTCCTTCTACCATCTTCATCAACTACACTAGTGCGAGTGTGCTTGTGTCTTGGGAGTGTGGAGAGAAGTCATTTTTCTGAGTTTGGGTTCTGTTTATTGTGGGTTTTGTGGCTGAGTTCTTGGGTTGGGGTGTTGGAGCCTTTATCTTGGTAGTGGAAGCTCCAAGTGTCAACCTTTGTGAAGAAAAACCAAGTCTTGTGTGCCATTTTCGTACTCCATTGAAGTCGGAAATTGTAGACTGACTTGGGAGCTCCAAGACCACTTGTGACTCTGTTTTGAGGCTTTTGGGTAAGCACCATAACCTTGATCATGAGTTTTGATGGTTAAAAATGGAACCTTGATGCATGTAATGGATTAAAGTTCATAACTTAAGGTTGGGTAATGTTAAACACACCTTAAATCGCATGTTTGAGCTTCTGTATGCATGAAATGAACCACCTTTGGGAAGGATATCTCGCGAAATGCAAAACTTCATTCTGTTGTGAAATATCCGGATATCGAGATCCAGATATTAATATCCGCATATGGGGATATGAATATCCGGATAATGATATCCGGATATTCGAAGAGAGATATCCGGATATTGATATCCAGATATGCCCCCGACATATATCCAGATATTCTGGGTTTTCGAAGAACAGTAGCTGCACTGTTCATACAGAATGATGTTTGGGGTTTGTGAACCCTAGATTGGTTAAGTTGAACCTCTGTAATAATTGAACTAAGTCAGAATCAAGTGATTAAGGGCTTGTGGCTTTGTGAGAAGCCTAAAGACATGAAATGTAAAGAAAATGTGTTGTCCTTATAATGTATGCTTGTAGAGTTGAATATTGATATGTTAATTGTCCAAAACAGATTGTGATTCTGCTGTGTTTGGGCTTTGAGATTGGTTGGACTCCTTGCAGTGGATAGTTAGCTTGCAAGGTAAGCTTTCGTGTCCTCGGTTTAGCCATTGTTGGTTCCACCATGTCCCATGGGGGTATGGTTATATGCATGATGTTGTTTTCATGATATATTGATTTGTGAAATGCCGTTGAGCTGTTATATGCGAGTGCCTTTATGATATTCATGTGGTGTTCCACCTATACGATAAGCCTGAGTATGTGGTACAAACAAGAGGGTGAAGTTGTGGGTGAGGTGCAAGCGATGTTCCTTGTACTTATTGTGGGGTTGTAGACGTACGTCCTGCATTTCTATGGCCAGTAGAATAGTTAAAACACACATGGCATGAATATCTGTTGCACTGCATAGTTTTGGAACTTATACTGTTAAATGCTTTTGAACTTATATTGCTCGTGTAAGTGAGCTTGGGGTGGAAGATCCTTGAGGACCCCTTGTCTTACTGAGATTTCTTTCTAGAGATCTCACCCCACGTTTGGGGCGCATATTTCAGGTTCAGGTAATGCGGGGGTTGAGACCTCTGGCGGCAGGAGGCCGGAGCTTAGCTGATTATATATGATGTATGCTGACATGACTGGATATTGGATGCTGTTTATATTTTCTGTCTTTATATTGATATTTGAGTTGAGACTCTTTTGTGGGCTTTGTTGCCTTATTTGGTGAGCATGAGGTTTGTCCATGCCACATTGATGTTAGTACTTTTAGCTTGAGTTGTATAAACTATCAGGATTGTCCGGTCTACGTGTGGTAGTTCCGTGATTAGGTACACACTTATGTTATTTATGTTATGAGGTATTTCAGTTAGCTGTCTTTTGCAATTTTCATATAGGCGATGTTTTATGAAATGAATTAAGTAAATCAACTTGGTAAATGATAATGACGTCATAATTGAAAAGAAAAAGATATTCCGCATTTTTAAATTAAGCATGGCTTAATACGATGATATGATAACAAACTGGATATATACGAGGTGTTACACCGTACATGGTTTAGCTGCAAGTAAACCAACGTCTGAGATCATCTCCAAAGAATACTTGTGTTGATTTAAGATGAAACCATCCTTTGATCTTGATACTTCCTAGCCCATAAAAAAAGACACAGTGGTCCTAAGTCTTTTATTTTTAATTCTTTATCCAAAAGCTGCTTAACACAATGAATCTTATTGTTATCGGTATTAGTAAGAACAATGTCATCCACGAAAATTAGTAGGCAGTAAAGGATATGTCAGATTTACGGAGGAGAAAAGAATGGTCTGCTGTGAATAACCAATAGAGAACAGAAACATTGTAAGTGTTGAGATATATAGTCCCACATTGATTGTTTGGGCAACTAATGTGGCCTTTATAAGGCCTTGAGCACTCCCACCCTTTGAGCTAGCTTTTGGGGTGGTATATCCCAAAGTTCTTTAAATGGTATCAGAGCCTGAGGTTCGATCCTCACCGCCCCCTACTTTAAAGTGGAAGCACAAAAGGTAAACCAAAGATTGGGCCTGTTGCATAATCCACGCTTCAAGCCAAGAGGGCTTTTGCGTGAGGGGGCGTGTTGAGATATATAGTCTCACATTGGTTGAAGAGCAACTAATGTGGAGTTTATAAGGCCTTGGGCACTCCCACCCTTTGAGCTAGCTTTTGGGGTGGTGACCTCAAGGTTCTTAACATGGTATCAGAGTCTCGCCGTCCCCCACTTTCTCTTGTGGAGTTTCTTAGCACAGGTAGGTTGGGCCTGTTGCATTGTCCACTCTTCAAGCCCAATGGGCTCTTGTGTGAGGGGACGTGTTGAGATATATAGTCCCACACTGATTGTGTGGGCAACTAATGTGGCCTTTATAAGGCCTTGAGCACTCCCACCTTTTGAGCTAGCTTTTGGGGTGGTGTATCCCAAGGTTCTTTAACATGGTATCAGAGCGTTCGAAATCTCACCGCCTCCCACTTTCTTTGTAGTGGAATTTCCACATGTAGGTGGGCTTGTATGTTGTCCACCCTTCAAGCCCAGTAGGCTCTCGTGAGAGGGGGCGTGTTGAGAAATATAGTCCCACATTGGTTGTATGGGCAACTAATGTGAGGTTTATAAGGCCTTGGGCACTCCCACCCTTTGAGCTAGCTTTTGGAGTGGTGACCTCAAGGCTCTTTACATGGTATCAGAGCCTCGTGTCCCAGATTCGATCCTCACCGCCCTCCACTTTCTTTCCAGTGGAATTTCTTTGTTCGCACATGTAGGTGGGCCTGTGCATTGTCCACCCTTCAAGCCTAGTGGACTCTCGTGTGAAGGGGCGTGTTGAGATATATAAAATCATTAATATAGCCTCACCCAATAACTTAAGCTTTTGGGTTAAATTGGTTTGTATCCCAAGGTTCTTTACAGTAAGCTTGGCATGCTATTGCTTATTGGCTTACTTAAGACCATAAAGAGATCATTGGAGTTTAATACTTGATTCAGTTTGGCAGAATCAATTCCTAGGGGAAGGACCATGTAAATATCTTCATGCATATCCCAGTGGAAAAATGCATTATTGACATTTAATTGTTCAAGAGCCCACATTTTAGCAATAGCATTTTAAATTTGCCGTTTGATGAGGAATCAGAACACGAATGTGTTTTAAGACTCTTGCTCCCTCTTAGTAGCATTTTAAATTTGACATCAATTTTAACAGCTCAATCATATTTAGATTTTGATTTTCTCCAATATCCAGAGTTCCTTCATTGAGAAACTAACATCCAATTTCCCTTTTTCTATTTCTTTATTCGAGATAAGGATTATAAGTGCTAAAACCTCTTGGATTCACCAACAAACAGTTAATCACCAAACTTTTGTAAACTCATTATCAAGTCATTAAGTAGTTTCAACAGTCCCCATAAAACACAGGTGAATTGCTCAAATGATTAACAAAGCTATACAATGATAAACTAGGACAAAAAATAAATAAAGACCCTAATCTGCAAGTACACATAATGTGAATTCTGCCAAAACTTTTAATAGAAACTAGTAGGCAAGTGGTTAAGAGGATTTTTCAATCAGAACCAAAAACTAAACAACACATGAAACAGAAAACAAATATCAAACTTCTAACAAACTGTTCTAATATAAAACCAGTTCACAAAGGCAAGAATTTTCATTTGTAAATCGAAAACCGAGATTAAAAACAATTCCAATCTTACACGGTTCAAAATACGGTAGGGAGAGAAACCAGTGTTTATGAAGATGTAAGTAATCGCTTAATGCCAGTTTTCTGCTCTGATGTAAGTCTGGAGGGAAACTTGATATTGAACTTGACTTTCAAGTTTCCCTTTTTTGAAGGTTCCTTGGGAATAGGCATACCCTCTCCTTTAATAACTTCTTCATATGTTGGACTAATGATGGAGTTGATCGAAACCGAAAGATTCCTTCCGTCGAGGGTTGTCAGTTGCACCGTATAACCTGTCAGAGCTTCTACAAGAGATATCTTCTGGGTGACAACAAGATCATTGCCATCCCTTTTGAAGACACTATGAGGCTTCTCATCAATAATGAAAACAAGGTCTGCTGGTATTATTCCTCTCTGTTCATTTCCCTTCTCTGGAAATGTTATTTTTGTCCCTTTCTTCCATCCTGGCTTGATCTCAATAGTTAGAATTTCCTCTACTGTGGTGGATCTCCTTCACAATAAGAAAACATACAGTAGATTAGTTCCTCCTTCCTTGGTAAATCAATTTACTATTCTAATTTGCTGTCATACTTTTAAGTACATCATATGTCAACAAAATAAAACAAAAAACAAGTGATTGATATACATAAAAACATATCCTTGAAGGTGCCATGGGCAATGGTTTTGGTTCCTTGTCTGCATAAATAAGTTAGAGATAGGTTATACTTACCACCATTTTTTTCGTACCACCAATCTTGTTATTGTTGGATCAAAATCAAATCAATGGCTCTCATTTGATGCCATTTTATAACCGTTAATTTGATTTTGATCCAATGATAAGAAGATTGGTAGTAAGAGGTGGCAAGAAAAAAAATATGGTAAGTATAACATCCCTCAATAAGTTAATCAACAATAAAATAATTTTGCATTTAACTGGCTCAAATTATTTTCTGACACATGGATTAGTTAATGACATGAAGTGAATACCTTCCATTTTCTAGCATGGACTAATCAAAGACATGAAGAAATTTTTTAATGAAATGGGAACCATTTATGATGAACATGTATTATCTGTTTACGCAACCAAAGTGGTATTTGATTTCTTAGTTATGTTTGCATACCATGCCCAATTTCTATAAATTCAACTATGTTTCAATTCATTCACGGTCCAAAATGCATTTTTCAATCATTTGGATATAAATATTCTTCTATCATGCCTTAACAAAAAGTCCAAAGGTTTGATGGATATAAACTCTAAGTCCACCAGCAAGATACTATCATTAAGTGGCCTCTTCTTTTACCAAAATGGACATACATGGCTAATTTCCCCTAATATTTCTTCAATGCCAGTAGACAAATCATCTATCCCTGTCCCGAGCTTCGCTGGCTTGTTAACATCCACATTTTAGTCGTAGATTAATTAAAACCACACCCCTTAAATCTCGACTTGCGAGAGTAGGGTGAAGACAATTCTTGCATGTAGCCTTACCCTTGCATATTTGCAAAGAGACAGTTTCCTGGATTTGAACCCGTGACCTTTCAGTCACAAAGGAGCAACTTTACCACTATACCTGACTCATCCTCAAAATATTGGGCATTGAAACAACTAACACAAAGTGGTATTGTCCCCTACAGGTAACAAGTCCCTGTAGATTAGAACAGCACAAAGATGCATCTTCTAACTAAACTAAGGGGAGGGCAACTTTATCTCCTCAAGTTTTGCATTCATGGAACACAAATGACATTACTTTTGTCCTGATATACGTACCAAAGGTTACAATGCACATGATCAAGAAAAATAATAATAATAATAAATACAAAGCACATATTGAGTCACAATTCCAGCCAATTGAACAGAAAATAATAAAATATGAAAGAAAAATAATCTACATCTGTTAGAAGCCAATAAAATCCCATGATTTTTGTATGAAAAATGAAAGTGACATGAACCATTAGATAAAACATGGCCTAGAGTTACACATTCTATCTTCTTTTAATAGCACCCTTAGTAGTCACGCATCACAACTAGCTAATTTGAATGAATAAGGCAAACTGCAAATATGCAATTAATTTTTTTTATTAATGTTGGATGAAATTATAAACACAACGACAAGCATAAGTCCACAATAACTGGGAGAAAGATTCAGATCCTAGCAAAATTCTGTGCTCATATTTGCATTAGAAAATTAAGAAAAATTATTCAAGGAAACAACATATAGCAATGTAACGTGCAAAGCCACTGAAGGACTACGAGTATCAAAACTGCATATACATCAAGGATCTCATGTCTCAACTCATCTCAAATCCACCACTTTATTAGTGGAAAGTTGATTACTCTGAGCAAAATTGTCAAACTCAAGATTTTACTTAGGATCAGAAGGGAGAGAGTAACTTATAAAATCGACACGGATTGTAAAATCTTACTTAATATATAAATTTATATTCAAAATACACACACACACTGACAAAAAAATAATATTTAAATCAGTATTAAATTCAATTAAAAATTTCAAATTATAAAGAGTAATTTAACATTCAGTATTTATTAATTATATAAAAAATTTAATCTGCTAATTTAAATAAATGAAAAATAGTGGAAAGAAGTGAAAGTAAAAAATTGCAAATTTAAATAATAAAAAAAAAATTGAAAAGGAATGAGAAAAGAAATATATAGCTGAACTACACAACAATTATGTCTCTCTTTTTCTCTCTCTTTAATGGCCTAAGTGAAGAAGATGCTTTTCACTCTCTCTATTCAGTGGCCGATTGCAGCTGGAGCACTTCACGTCTCGCACTGCCCACTTCATCGTCGATCTGGTCTCCGATGACAACCAATCAATCATCTCAGACACTTTCCCCCCTTCTCTGTCTCTCTCTCACTCACTTTCTGAGATACAAGGGTATTTTTGTGAATCATCCAGAACAGAGGGATCGCACCATTCCACATTTTTACAATTTCAATCAACGATCCAGTGCAATCCCATTCATTCACGATCTTGCAACCGAGTTACTGTGTTTAAGCAGAAAACTCGTAGGATTGTATGATCCTACGAGTTGAAACACGATGTTGACAATCATGACTCTGAGCATATACGACTGCAAATGTATAGTTCAATTTCAAATCTACCAAAATGATCAAGACAACTAATCATCAAACAACAACACAACAAATGTGAATCATCAAACCTGACCTTGGAATGTAATAACTCAAATCCATCCAATAACAATTACTACAAGTAACTTCAAATTTTCTTCATGAAAGTCAAAATGCAAGCAAAAGATGCTAATAAGTTAAACTAGACAGCTTACCCACTGGCATCAGTAACCTCCCTGGAAATCTTCATTTTTTTGGTAGTGCCTTTGTACAAATCTTCCAAACTGCATTGCAATGTTCTCTCTATGGGTGCACTTTTCCTTGGCACATTACCAGAGCCTTCTCCAGCCCCACTCCTAAAAGAAGTGAAAATGTCATCCCCAAACATGCCCCTGGGAAAGCCAGATACACCAGCACGACCACCACCCATATCACCCATTCCACCAAAGGGGCTTGAAAACCCGAAGAACTCCGAAAATATATCATCTGCACTTCTGGGGTTGAACCGGAACGTCGTTGGTCCGCCATCACTTCCACCAGAAAATCCACCGGCGCCAGGGGGCGGCACCTGCCCTTTCAATCCCTCCTCACCATACTGATCATACACAGCTCGCTTTTGTGGATCACTCAAAACCTATCAAGAATCAAATCACTAAGAGAACCCATGATTTTTTTTTTTTTGGTAAAAGAGAACCCATGATTTAAATCACAAGAAAAATTGAAAATACGACACCCAATAGTTCAAATTGAAGGGGGAAAAAAATGGAAACTTCGCTAAAAGTCTCAGCTTGTTTGCACAACCCAATCCACATTACATTAAACCACTAGGAGAACCCACGATCCCAATGATTCAAATCACAAGAAAAATGGAAAATTTGACACCCAATAGTTCAAATTGTAAGAAAAATATTGGAAACTTTTCAAAACGGCAATTCACGTTACATTAATTTACTCGGAGAACCTACGATTCCAATGATTTAAATCACAAGAAAAATTCCTACCATAAAAATATCAATATAAAAGTGGCAAATTTGACACCCAATAGCTCAAATTGTAAGAGAAAAAAAGAAAAAGAAAGGGAAACTATGCTAAAAGTCTCGGCTTGTTTTCACAACCCAATTCACACTACATTAAATAACTAAGAGAACCCATAATTGCAATTATTCAAATCACAATAAAAATGGAAAAATTTGATACCCAAACAGTTCAAATTGTAATAAATGCAACCAAAAAATAAAAATGGAAACTTTGCCAAAAGTCTTTGTTTTCACAACCCATTTCACATTACATTAAGTGAATTGAGAGAGAAAATTTGTGTGACACAAAAACATACATCATAGGCTTCTGAGATTTGCTTGAATTTGGCTTCAGCTTCTTTTTTGTTGTTAGGGTTCTTATCAGGATGCCACTTCATGGCAAGCTTGCGATAAGCTTTCTTGAGATCGTCATCTTTGGCACTTCGATCTACCTGAAGGACTTTATAGTAGTCTACCCCCATTCCTTCTCCTTTTCCGATTCGCCGGAGGAGCAATTAGTACTGTTGTATAGTCACAGGTGGAGATGAGAGAGACAAGGAACTCATCCACATGGACACACACACACACAAACACATCTGGGCTCAACAAAATGCACTTGTTTAGGATTACGTTGCCATGTTGATACTAGGCCCAACTCTGTCAAGTTCAAGCATATGTGTGTGTGCTCTTTTTTTTTTTTGGTTTGGAATTGAGGTAAGGTTGGTCAGTTTTTTGGTGCCAACTGAATATTATCATGATTTGGTTATAAAAATTTATGGGTTTGGTGTTTGTCATTTTAAATGACATAAGTTATGTCATTTTAGGAGAGAGATAGACACAGAAAAACGGAAATCATGGGAGAGAGAAAGTGGGTGTTTTTTTTAATTTAAAATTCAAATTTTCTGTGTCTGTATCTCTCTTAAAATGACATAACTTTCTGTCATTTAAAATGACAAACATTTTTCCCAAAATTTATTCTAACATATGCCCAAAACTTTCATTGAATATAACATTTATAACCAAGGGATATGTTATTATGTCTACTCTTGTTTTGCCTACATTTGTTTATCCCTTTTAATAATGTTAGATTACAATCTCATCAAATGATGAAGATTTACTATATAAAATAAATTTTTTGACACCTTTTTCTCTTCCACCGCCTCATATTCTTTCTCTCTCCTCCCCTGGTTCGCTGCTGTCTCAAAAGGATGGCAGTTCGAACCCGGCTGGCCGATGTGAGGTGATATGTAATCTCTCCCAGAAATCCTCAAAGAGGTTGGGGGGTCTTCCCCGACCCTGGTGGGATACCGGTGCCTACCCCCACCTAAACTTTTTTGTATTAAAAAAAAAGTGCAAGCTTTTTTTCTCAATTCATCTAACCCAACCATTGTTATAAGCATTTACATTTTACATAAAAAATTGAAAAAGGGTGTTAAGAAGAAACAAACCCAGATGCCTTATGTTATGGAATCAGGTAGGCTTGTTATTGGGCGTAACATAGAGAGAACAAAAATTATTTCCTCATTTCAAGGTGAAAAACAAGATAAGAAGGAGATAAATTGATTCGATTTCAAATTTCAACAACAAAGTAGAAACGTTACGCTAATCGTGGATTAATTCAAAGGAAGAGATTATTCGTGGTTTTCATTTTTTTGTAATTTTGTGGTTTCTGCCATGTTCAATTATATCATATTCAAGAAATTTTAAAAATTATACTCATCCAACAAAACTATCATGTCATTAATCATTGTATGGATTTAGATTCAAATATAAACTCAGGTTGTAAATCATGCAAATCAATAGAGAGAAAGAAGAGGAAAGAGAAAGAGTGTGAGATGTAGTAAGGAGAAAAAAAAAAGGAAAAAATGGTTTATTTTATTCCACAAATCTCCACCTTGGATGAGATTGTAATCTAACGATGTTGAAAAAGGTAGGTCACTGTAGGCAAAATAAGAGTAGGCAGAATAACGTATCCCTATAGCCAAATGGTAATAAAATTCGACGTAAATATAAAAATCCTATTAAATGCAAAATCTTAAGGAGATATTAATTTCTTAAAATATCTTATCAAGGTTAAAATAAAATCATTAACAATGAGTTAAGATCACAGAGATTGGGACAAAAAGCACGATTTCTTACTATTTGAAAACCAAATAGTTAATATGTTTTGCATTTTTGATCTAAAAAGCAAGATCATTTTACATATTCCACAATTTGAAGAAGTTCCACAATCCACAGTAAACCTGATGGATAAAATAACTCGCGTGCTTGATTGAAAAAAAAGTTGCAGCTATTCTGACACTTTAATATTAAGGTTCCACCAATTTTTTTTTTAAAGTAACTAAATATTTCTATTTATCAAATTCACGAAACGGAACAGTTATCGTGCCTGTTTTCTACATATAATTACATCTTTTGTGAGGCTTACATAAGAATATAGAAGTTCTATTTGTTCCAAACATTTTCTTAATTTGTTTCCAATTTTTAATTTTTTTGAACTCTCAATTCAGTTTAATAGTAATCAATATATTATCATTTCACAGCTTGTTAGATGAATATGAGAATCAATTATTGATTTTTTCCCTTACAGATACTATGTTGTTAATCTTCTTCCACTGTCTAAAGTTTATTTTAACCATTTAATCATTTGAGTTCCACCAACCAACAAATTAATTTCGAATTAATAATTCGTAACTAGATTAAACCATTCGACTTCTAACCAATCATTTTCGTCTTGAATAGAATTTTACAAAAATTAGAAGCTAAAAACAGCTTTAGTATCATGCAATTATCGTAAACTCAACTTAATCTTACGACAGAATAAATTCAATACGAACATATATGCACATATTTTAAAATAAATGCTAATAAAATAATTATACTTTTCGGGCAAATTTTCTTTCGTACTTCTAGATAATGGAGAAATTAATAAATTAACAAAGATATCTTACCTTCGTACAAATAAAAAAATTTGAAGAAGCTTCAATCGTACAAAAAAGACCACTATAAATATTCTTAGGGCCTGTTTGGTAAATAGATATTTGTAAAAATATCAAGAAAGTTAAAATGAGTTTTGTACTTGGTCACGTTTGGTAGGAGTTTTGATATGAGTTGCCTGAATATTCAGTTTGCCATGAAATTGCTCTTATGACCAAACTGTGATCCAGTTAACCTCCACAAATTACCACCAAAAGGGTGGTATTTGTGAAATACTCGATCAAAGAAAATGTTGTCTGATATTTTGGGACAATTGTACCCTTCTCTCTTTCTTCATCAGTAAAGGTCATGGATCTTCTTATGAGGACTTGCTGTTGAAAAAAGCACTGCTACTCACCTCATTCGAAATCGGAAGCCATTTTCATCGAAACGCCATTTTCATCGAAACGTGAGTTTTCTTGTCTAAGGCACCGCAAGGTCTCCATTATTTGTGTTAGTGATTTATGTGGATTATTTTTGCAATATGGCATTTTGTGCTCTTTTTATCAAAATGGGAATGGCTTCTTCCCATGAGTTTCTGAATTCTGAGTTCTCGCGCTACTGCACTCGTTCCCGGGGCAAAAAAATTCGTCTTTCAAACGAAGGTGGATCTAACAACCCAGATGTAGTGGACGGTCAAATATCTTCATGTTCATAGGGAAAAGAATAATTGCGCATATTGATTGGCTAAAAAAGCTGTCCATTAATGACATCTGTGTTTATCCGCAACCGCAAGCACCTCAAGCCTTGATAGCCTTGCTCAATGAAGACGATAGGAGGGCCTTTGGCTCTGAATTTGTGGTGTAATTGTTTTGTTTTTGGGTATAGCCCCTCTTTATTTATTAAAAAAAAAAATCTTGCAAAAGAAATAGTGCAATGAGGGTTAGTTTTGTAAAATAACACAATCCCAGTGGCATTTCACAATCAACCAAATATGGAATCAGTAATCTTTATCTAATATTCTCAGTAATATTTTCACCAACCAAACAACTTTTTAGTAATATTCTCGTAAAACTCAATTCCTGACAATATTCTCAATAATCATGATTCCAGAATAAAAAAAAAAAATTCTCCTGTACTAAACACCCCTTTAAGATGAAAGAAATACACTACGGGATCAAAGTATGTATATACAAATTCGAAATAGGAACACAATACAGCAAAACCAAAATTGGGACCAATTTGAGGAAATATGATACTACATATTCCATTCCAATATACACTATTCCAACTATATATTTACACGCCAGTTTATTGCCCAATGCGAAGGTACATAGAATGGGGGGCAATCCTTGGCACATGGCCCAACTATCTAGCTATCTCAATGGGGCCAATTCATCAATCCTGGCTCTTCATTCCCTAGACTAGGGAGAGTCGTAGCAATTAATCTAAGTTAAGTCTAAGCTAATTTAAGTCTAGTCTCGCAGTTGACTAGTAGATTCCACCACTCAATCATGCTTGCTTACAGTTTAGCTCGCTGTAGATGATTCTTTGGATTTTTCTGTTACAGTGTCCTTGTCTGAGTTGCTTGTCTCCCCAGCCTGTGTTTGACTAGTTTGTGCCTGACTTGAAACTTGAGAATCGGATGCAAGTCCCAGAACAACGAGCACAGACCTGAACACATTCAAAAATTCAGAATCAACATTGCCAAACAGGATAAACACAGTGACTCCACAGAATTGTTGTGCCGAGTGAATTCAAGAACCTGGGAAGTGAAGCTTGTATATCTGGCTGGCTAGCATGAGCAATCAATGGAACCTTCAGTGCTGGAGTTCTATTTAATGCAATTTCCAATTGTGCTGGAGGTAGCTGCTTGCAAGCATACATCACCAGAAAACGCATTAGAACAAATATGTTTTATTTTTTGGGGATAGTTGGTTCATGATAATTTTAAAATTTGAAAAGCTTTCAGAAAGACCATCCAAAAATGAGGAAATGGCAAAGAGAAAAATAAGAATAGAATGGTATATCAAAAGCATACATTTTCTTTATTTACTTCTGGTTTCCCTCGACCACAAATATTCCCACCAAAAAAATAGCAAATTATTCAAAGTTGAATTGAGGTGAAAAAGAAAAATAAATGAAAGCTCAATGGCATCACTTAAGATGATAATAAAATGGGAGGCAATATAATTATTTAAAATGGAAATAAAAATGAATTGCCTTTTTCATTTTATATTAATCCATTCTCAAACCCCTTTTTTCTATACAGAAGTCAGGCTTCTCTTAACAGGCAGAGAATCAAGCTCTGACGAAGAATGCCATCTAAATTATCTTTACAGACCACGCAATCTTTCTCACTTCAAGAGAAAAAAATACTAATCTAACTACTGCAGTCATATTTCTATTTATTGTACAATTAATCTAGCATCCATGAAGTTCTCCTAATAATTGGCAAGGAAATGTACAAACATCTTATAAAACAAAGTACAATTTGAGAAGGGATGGGCAAAATATGATCTCACTAGATTGTTTTTTGTCCAGTGCTTATGGTATGTAATAGAATACTAATTAGTAATTACAACGAACACAGTCCTATAAATTCTGAAACAATATACGTACGTTGTTTTATCCTCAAAACTAGTAATTATTAGCATATGTTATGCTTTCGCGTGTGTATCTCTTACTTTTACTCATACAAGTACTGAATACTTTCTGTTAATCATTTTACATCAGAACACTTGAATTTTCTCCATCACTCTCTCTCTCTCTCTCTCCCCCTTTTCCTGCACTTTTCATTTTCTCACCCAACTCTAATATGAAGGCCTGAACCATTTCTTATTCTCTATCCATGGCTTCTGCAACATCATCTACACAAAACAACCGAACCAGTAACGAAAACAACCGCGACTGTGTGTGACAACAAAGCTGCGCTCTTCAATTATCAAATTTCAGTGCAGCTCACTAAAGGCAAGTATCGCTTTTCGAACCAGATAGTAGAACTGATCATCACTTCACATCAACTCCATAGATTCCTCATGAATCAAAAAATTCCGTAGAATTTATTGTCAGAAGATTGTGAGAACCAAAACGCCAAGTAAGAGTATGTTGATAGGTTAACTTGGGACTAGCACGATTTCCAAATCAGTTGTGAATGATATTGTTAAGAGTGTTAGTGTTAATAGTTTAGAAGTCCCACATTGAGTGTGTCTCTTTGTATTCTTCAATTGGTTTGCTATATAATAGCACCAATGTTATATAGTTTAATACAACAAGGATTACTATTATTTCCTCTTGTATCTATGATATTCAACATGGTATCTAGAGCCTAACAAGAGGAATCTTAATCCGTTTAACTTAGTTCTATTTTCCATAATTTCAATATGGTTATAGAGAGATATCACCCTCCTTGAGGGATTCCCGTTGCTATTTCTTTTTCGGGTTTTTTCTTTGTATGCTCTGTGACTGCAGCTTAGACTGATTTGTCACATCAGAAAAGAATGATCCTTGGGAAGTTGTTGGGTTGACCACCGTTGTCGTTGACCGACCACCGTTGACCGCGTCGTCCACCGTTGACAGCCGTCTCCGGCGACTTTTCCGGTGATCCACCATCGTCTCCGACGACTTTTCCGACGACCCACCGCCGTCTCCGGCGAATTTTCCGATTCCGCGAAGCTTTGTTTTTCTTTAATCTTCTTTCTTCCCAAGATGGAGTATTTATACGATTCATCATCCATCTTGAGGGGGAGCACTGTCCAAGTTGCTGATGTTGTCTCCGCTGATGTTAATTCCGACACTGAAGTTCCTCTTGAGGGGGAGCACTGTCCATGTTGCTGATGGTCATTCCAACACAATTGTCTTTGCCGATGATAATTCCGGCACTGTTTAGAAGTTCCTCTTGAGGGGGAGCACTGTCCATGTTGCTGATGGTCATTCCAGCACAATTGTCTTTGCCGATGATAATTCCGGCACTGTTTAGAAGTTCCTCTTGAGGGGGAGCACTGTCCATGTTGCTGATGGTCATTTCAGCACAATTGTCTTTGCCGATGATAATTCCGGCACTGTTTAAAAGTTCCTCTTGAGGGGGAGCACCGTCCATGTTGCTGATGGTCATTCCAGCACAATTGTCTTTGCCGATGATCATTCCGGCATCTTCCATGTTGATGTTCATTTCGACGCCATTTTTAGCACATTGTTGATTTTTGGTTTCTCATTTAGGAGATTTATTTTGATGTTATAATTGAATCTGAAATATATTGTATATTCAAGTGTGTAAGTCTGTACAAGGAGGCTCTCTATTTATAGAGGCTAAAAGACCTAATGGGCCAAGCCCACAATCTAGACTATTCTAATAATAATAAATTAATATTATTTCTTACACTCCCCCTCAAGCTGGTGCGTATATATAAAAAGCTCAGCTTGTTACAAATATGATCTATTCGGGGACCTCTAAGAGCTTTAGTGAATACATCCGCAAGTTGATCATTGGAATTGACAAATGCTGTCTCGATCTCCCTTAACTGGATCTTTTCTCTAACAAAATGACAGTCAATTTCTATATGCTTGGTCCTCTCATGAAAGACTGGGTTAGAGGATATATGCAAAGCGGCTTGGTTGTCACAAATGAGCTTCATAGGCCTTTGTTCACAGAGATGGAGTTCCTTCAGCAATTGACTCAGCCAGATGAGCTCACAGGTTGCATTTGCCATTGCCCGATATTCTGCCTTCGCACTGGATCTGGCGACCACAGTTTGCTTCTTACTCTTCCAAGAGATCAAATTTCCTCCGAAGAGAACACAATACCCCGAGGTGGATCGTCTATCTGAAGGAGAACCTGCCCAGTCAGCATCTGAATAACTAGAGATCTCTGAACTCCCTTTATTTGTATATAATAAACCTCTTCCTGGCGCCTTTTTAATATATCGGAGAATTCTAATAACTGCATCCCAATGGGAGTCACAGGGAGAATCAAGAAATTGACTTGCAACACTCACTGCGAAGGAGATATCTGGCCTTGTCACAGTAAGATAATTCAATTTTCCAACTAGTCGGCGATAGCGACTAGGATCTGGCAGTGGCTCCCCCTGTCCTGGTAATAACTTAACATTGGGGTCCATAGGTGTATCAATGGGTTTACAGCCTAACATGCCAGTCTCATCTAGGATATCCAGTGCATACTTCCTCTGACAGATGGAAATGCCCCGCCTAGACTGTGCAACTTCGATCCCCAAGAAATATCGAAGTCTGCCAAGATCTTTGGTCTGAAATTGATTGAATAAATGCTCTTTCAACTGATCAATCCCGATCTGATCACTGCCTGTAATGATAATGTCATCAACCTAGATCAGGAGATAAACGCACTGGCCAGAAGAGCTATGCCGGTAAAAGACAGAATGATCGGCTTTGCTTCTGATTAATCCAAAGGATTCAACAACTGAACTAAAGCGGCTAAACCAGGCCCGAGGAGATTGCTTCAGGCCATATAAAGATTTCCGAAGTTTACATATCATTCCAGAATTCTCCCCCTGAGCAACAAAACCTGGTGGTTGCTCCATATAAACTTCCTCCTGCAAGTCACCATGTAGAAAAGCATTCTTAATATCAAGTTGGAGAAGGGGCCAGTGATGAATGGCGGCAAGGGCAAGAAACAGGCGAACAGAAGCCATCTTAGCAACAGGAGAAAAGGTATCCCCATAATCAAGACCAAAGATCTGTGTGTATCCCTTGGCCACTAAGCGAGCTTTAAGGCGATCAACAGTGCCATCAGGACCAATTTTAACTGTGAACACCCATCGACAACCAACAACAGACTTCCCGGGAGGAGCACGAACAAGATCCCAAGTGCCATTGGAGTGAAGTGCCTGCATTTCATCAAGCATCGCCTGGCGCCACCCTGGATGAGATAGTGCTTCACCTGTGGTTTTAGGGATGGAAACAGAAGAGAGACTAGAAACAAAAGTAAAATGTTGTGAAGAAAGTCTGTCATAACTCAAGAAAGAATAAAGGGGATGAGGATTTCGAGTGGATCGAATACCTTTCCGAAGGGCAATGGGAGGAGTCTCTGATGGAGGATCCGGAGGAGAAGAGCCGACGGGAAAGGGCGATGAGTCATCAAGAGGCAAAGTCGAAGGAGGTGCAGGCTGACGACGCTGGTATGTGAGGAGAGGACGATCTGCAGGTATTGAGGTAATTGGTTGCTCCTTTGGAATAGGGTCACCTGCAGCTGGTAAAGACAAGTCAAGAAAAGGAACAGGAAGGACCTGATCAACTTGGGACACTGGAGACGGAGTAGAGTGAAAAGGCTGCTGATCAAGGAAAGTGACATCAGCAGAAACGATATAACGCTCGAGATCAGGAGAATAGCAACGATACCCTTTTTGAAAACGTGTATACCCAAGGAAAATACATTTGAAGGCCTTGGATGTCAACTTGTCTTTACCTGGAGTAAGATCATGAACAAAACAAGTACAGCCAAAAATATGTAAAGGCAGAGGATAAGATGGTGCTCCGGAAAACAAAATATTGTGGGGAACATCATTATTTAGCACAGAAGAGGGCATACGGTTGATAAGGAAACATGAGGTGATAATAGCATCTGCCCAAAAACGGAGTGGGACGTTCATATGAATGAGAAGGGTACGTGTAGTTTCAACTAGATGTCTATTTTTACGTTCAGCGACTCCATTTTGTTGTGGAGTGTGGGGACAGGTAGTCTGGTGTATCGTCCCGTGTGTATCCAGAAATTTAGAAAATTCAAGAGACACATACTCTTTTGCATTATCACGGCGCAAGATTTGAATAGAAGCACCAAATTGAGTTTTTATTTCTGCAAAAAACTTTTGATAAATTGAAAATAACTCAGAACGATT